ACTGAAGAAGGCAAAGGACAAGGGGAAGGCAAACGCAGCAGTGTCTTTACTTTGGTAAAGATGCCCTCCACGATAAGCGTCACACATACTACAGTATCAACAGACGGACAGGAAAACTATTTGTTCCCCAATACTTATTTAAAAGGAACAGTCTGACATGTTAAGAAATATGAATGTTTGGCGTCAAACTGAGATGGTGATGAAGAAGAGCAATATCAGTTTAATCTCTTAGCCTTCTGTGCAGAGATAGCTTTATGTCTGGGACATGATCAGACCTGGGCCCTGTTTGTCAGAAACATCTCAATGCTTAGATGATCCTCAAATTAAGATAAGTATGGCCTTAAGATGTTCATAGATAATATGACCTGGCTCAGTACAAAGACTGGAAACGGGAAGAAACTCCTTGCCTTGCCACTTATATAGCACTTTTCTACTGTAGCTGGCAGATTGCTTTATAGTTTGCCCCTCATTCACACAGCTTTATGGTGGTGGAGAGTCCATGCAAGGCAGTGATCTGACTATCACGAGCAATTTTGAGATTCAGTGTTGGATTGAACCACCAACTCTGCAAGTAATTGACAATCCACTCTTCCTTCTGAGCCTTATCCACCCCAAAGTACGCAGAACTCCAAAGCTGTCTTATTTATGCTGCTGAAAACAGCTGCCTGCTGGGGTTAAAAATGACACCAATAAGAGAGGTGAGACTGAACCAAAAACAACATATTCTCCTTCCCAACTCGTCGCTTGGTCAGTGGCCCTACGCTTTAAACTATGACACTCTCGCTACCCTCTAGCATAAGTTTTGGATGTGTCAGGGACAGCGTGTCAATATACGTTTCACAAGGGGAACAAAGAACGGTCCGCTGGGTGAAAGTCATGTGTTTCTTTGACCTGTCCAACCTCTACTCCCGCCCTTCACGGACTTTCTCACGCTTCGCACCACGTAAGCTGCTCAGAGCATCTAACAATGAAGAGGATGGGTTAACATTGGGGTCATACAGACGATAAAGGCGGCCTTTTATCAGACGTCAAGTGTTTGACGAGTTGGGAGTAAGAACAGGTTGCTTATAGAGCTATATAGCTTCACATGTCAAACTTTTCAAATAGGCAGTTCCCCTGTACCTGACACAGAGATGAAACTAAAATCAATCTTCCCATCTCATTGTTTTTTATTTGATAGCAAACCATATTCCTAAAAATGTCAAACTGTTCCTTTATAAAACAGAAGAGAAATACAGGTCTTGTGGTTATCTACTTCTATCAAGCTAACTCCACTTGTGCTTTGCTGCTTTCGATTATTTAGAATCACAGTATTCGAGTTACTTTCTTCATATGAGAGGCTTTGTGAGCATTTTAATAGCAATGTGTTGAGGTGTAAAGAAATAAAAACAGCTCAAGGAAAAGCAGTCCCGTAATGCAATTTCAGCACCAAATGGCTAGTTATATACCTTAAGAGCACTTTTTAACATTAAAGCATTGTTTATTATATGGCTTTAGTACAAGTGGTCTACGCATACTGTATATATTAAAACATTTCTTAAAATCCTTCGAGAGATCACACAACCTGGATAGTTTTTTCAAAATATCTGTTTGCTAAAATGTCCTCTTTAAGTGTGATCATACTCTCATCGTAGACCAGATCTTTGGCTAAGAGCTACTTGGTGTTTCTCTTTACAGCATTGATTTGATGTTTCCGACATTTAGACGTTAAACCAGGTTGTGATTTCCACAGTGAAACTAACCATGTGGTGTAGAAAGAATTATCATTTTCAGTCTAAACTACACCACCTCGACATAGTTGGCTGGGTAAAGCCCCTCACACCCGTCGTCCTTCATCCCCCGACACCAGCCCTGATCATCCTCATCCTCTATCTTCAAAAACTCCTCACCTGAAGGGCGACAGAAATAAAAAATTAGGATTGCAACCAGCAATATTTTTTATCAATTAATCGATTAATAGTTGTAGTTTTTTTTAAAAGGACCATTTCAGTTTCCCAGTGCTAAAGTTGACATCTTCAGATTGCTTTTAACGAGTGCAGTATGGTAAGTTCTGTAGGATTGTACGTGTGTATTTACCTGCTTTAAAAGACAGCTCATCTGTCTCCTGGCCAACATAGTCATACATAGCTCTTACTCTCACTCCTCCAATAATCACACTAGAGGAAAAGAAAGGGACGGAAAGGTAAACAGAAGAGAGAGAGGCAGATGGATGTCTGATCAGCTACAGCAACCTTTATAGAACAATCTCTTTAAATAAATAATAAATACTCACCTCCTCTCTATTGTTCCTTTCTTTTCGACTTCTTTTTTCCCTTTTTTGTTTTTCTTCTCGGGCATCCATTCCTTAAAATATGTTTGAAAAAAATAATTACCAAACATTTAACTTCAGACCTAAAAACTGAGAATTGAACTTCACATCGAACCAACCATTTTAGTAATAAAGTTGGTTGGAGAGGGACAACTACTGAAATACCTGGAAGTGAGGCCAGTCGGTGGGCATGCCGGGCCCGTTGGTGTTTTTCCACCAGCGAAGGTCCTCATGCTCATCGATGGTCATCAATGTGTTGTGGAGCTCATTGTACACAACCCTCACACTGAATAAGTGGTCGAGAGTAAATAAGAGAATCCAAAATGAGATTGACAAATACTTAATCTGAAGCACACAATGCAGAACTTGATTTATACAATACAGAGCTGTTATCCATATACTTCACATAGTTCAAATAGTTCAACTGACATTTCAACTGTTATCACTGCTGACAAATCAACTGACATTTGAATTATTTTACAATTATAATCATAACGTACAGGAATATAAGAGGATGGTGGTATTCATTTTAATTTAACCTGCGTATGTTCCTCTGATGCTTAAACTGTAACTAAAGTTAATTTAAGCCTCTACTTGCACTGTCATCCACATCCATTTTAAGTAAAGTGTTACCTACAAATTAAGCAGATTAATAGAGTATATCATTTCTATCATCTACGTACATCCCCGTGTGGCCCCTGCAGATTTTATAAAGTAATTAAATTGCTTTTATTGTTATTATTTCCTTTAATAGATTAGAAGTGAGTCACTGAGCCATGCCATAATGTTGCTGAACAGCTTTTGATAAGGGCTAAATTAAGTCAAATTATTGATTTTTACATACTTAGCTCTAAAGACGAGCAAAACGTAGTTGTTCACCTCTCATTGTTGGTAATGTCCAGGTGTTTGTGGATGGAGAGAAAGGCCTGTTTGAGGAAGACAATCCTCTTTCGCTCCTCGTCCTGCGATTGGTCAAAGATGGACTCCATCTCTTCCATGTAGCGTGGAGCGTAGCGGTTCACCTCCTCAAGGACTTTTTCATAGCGGGCACGGACCTGAACATTTAGACACGCTTTCACACACTGCTCAGGGGTGTCATTGGATTTACATATTCATAGACACTCACACAAAGGTATAAGTTACCCTATCCTCACCCCAACCCTAACTCCCTAGACAAAGGTTAAATTAAAACTAGATTGACAACTAAATGTAAAAACATAAAATGTTGAACAAAACTCTTCTTGTTCTTTCCTGCCTTTTGTTGGCACTTCAAGGTTTCTTGGCGCCATCGACTGTCGATCTGTGAGCTAGCCCTTGTACCATTGTACAAGTTGAATGGTGGGCATTTTTCTTTTTCTTATTTCATTTTGATGGACATTTTTGCAGTTGGGCAGAGTAAGTAATGCATTACGACCAGTGACTCGCAGCAGCATTTTTTTTGCCGTTTGAGTTGAAAATAGCCTGAAACAGACTGCGGGAAAGTCTGCTGCATCATCGCAAGCTTGTGTGTGTGCACGAGATACAACACCTTGGGCACCAACTCATAAATACACTGCTCTACAGCACAACTAGTGGTCAAAGACTCCACCGAGTGCCTATAATCATTGACAGAATTCAGTCGATAATCCGGAACAGATGGATTCCGATCGACAGACCCAGTCAAAAACCATCCAAACTTAATGAAAATAAGAACGAGATGAAACATGTTGCTTACCTTCTCAGCCTCCTGTTGAGCCAGCTCTCTCTCCTCTTGGATCTTCTTCTGTTTGTCGATGGCGACGTCCGGGTTTCCCTGACTGTGTACCTCTCGGTCCCTGGCTGCCTGCTCCTTACGGCTCACTTTGTGGTACGCCCTCCTGGCTTTATCCAACTGTGGAGGAACCGGAACATAACGTATTATCTGACGTATTATTAACGTATTATCTGAAAATGCAAGACAAATTGTTCACGAAGGAAATGTGTCTGTCGACATGGACTTTTCATGACATTCAAGAGCAATTCAACCTGTGAGTATACTTTGGAAAACTAAGATGCACCTGGCTTTGAAAGACTGTAGCTCATTCCCAGAGTAAAATTGTGGTGCATTAGGTCTCGGTGGTCCAAATATAAACCTTGAATTGAGGCCTTTTACTTAATGAGCATCCATTTGTGAAAAAATCTGAAAAATGCAGACCTTTTTAAGTCGTTTGGCCCATGGCTTCTGAGCACGTGTAAAGCCCGTCTCAATGTCCTGGGACTCCTTGAAGCCTCCAAACAACTTCTTGTGGAAGGTGTCCTTCTGCCAGGTCCTGACCCTGTCTCCATCCTCCGACACCAGGGAGCGACAGATGGAGGCGTGTAAGGAGGCCAGCCGGTCAGCAGAGGACAGAAAACACTGCCAAGCCTTCAGAAGAGATCCGTATAGAGGACCTGAGGGAAGACAACCAACACCAGGGAAACACAAATTCCTAAAATGTTCTTTGTGCTTTAGAAACAATTGTAATGACCAGCCACTCTTTACATGAAACATACTGTATAATAGAAACAAGAATATATATTACCATCTCTTATCACAAAAAGGAGATTTTATGATCACAGTAGTAGTAGTAGTAGTAGTAGTAGTAGTAGTAGTAACATGCTGCAGACAGAAATAGCAGTACTTACTGGAGTCCACTACTGGCTTCCACTTGTTGCTCCACTCACTGAGCTGCTGGGCGTACTGCCTCTCCACACGAGCTCTCTCTTGGAAACACGCCACTATGTCATTGCAGGCCTGGAAGGCATCTTCTGTTCGCTTCACAGTGGGCTGATAGTTCCCAGGCTGCCAGGACACAAAGAGAGAGGAAGATCTACTGTTCACACAAAATAAACAAGAGGATTAATGGACTCAGCGTTTTAAACCCTGATATTAATACCCAATAACATAATCATGTTTTGGGGTTAAAAGAAGCCAAAAATGGTCGATATTTTTTCCAGTATTGACTACAGCCTTTTAGCTTATTTCCTTTTTATCTTCACCATTTCAATGCCAGTTAATACAAACATTTTCATCTGCTCAGTTTAATCCTAGCAGAGTGGCAACAGCATGTCGACAATAAACGGATTTAGAAAAAGTGATTTAGAAATGTAAACCCAACACTAAAACGATTCAAGTCAGCACGACTCTTACACTCTTACTACCACTATTAATTCTACTGCTACTGAGTGTCAACATTAACGTTGCTAATACCATGACTGTTACTTCTATTAATGATAGTTTTATTCATATATTAAAACTATTACTACATCTACTGCTACTACATCTACAACTGCCACTACTGCTACACGCATTACAACCTGTACTGCTATTATTAGCTGCAGTAGTCTTTTTATTACTACTGATCGGCTAATAGCAGCACTCCTGCTCTCTCAGTAATTCAACTTTATTTATGTAGCACCTGTGCTGTGCTTCTGTGTTTTTAAATACATTAAAAGGAATAGTTCAACATTTTAGGAAGAAACACTTACACTCTTGCCAAGAGTTAAATGAGAAGATTGATACCACTCTCCTGACAGGCCGCTGGCTCCGGCTACTTATTTACTGTTCAGACGTGAGAATGATATCGATCTTCTCATCTGACACTCGGCAGTAAAGGGAAGAAGCGTATTTGCTGAAATGTCTCTCCCTTTAATCATTGCTCTGTTCCACTTAGGTCTCCCAGTCTCTGTGCCAGTTAACCAGCTTGCACAAATATTTGAAACAGCACAGCTAAGTGGTATGTAGCCATTATTAATTAGCTACACCAGCTCAACATTGAACAGTCAATATTGATCCGTCTCACATTGTCTTGTCAGTCAGTCATAACAAGGTCTAGCTTGCATGCGCATCTCCTTTCACAGCTGTGACACTGCTGCAGCTGTCCAAGGTCAAGCCTCACATGCCACAAGTGACACTTAACAGGCATTAGGTTTCCTGTGGTCAAATCTAATGCAGCGCAGGGTTTGGTCAGCGGGCGCAAGGACGAGGCCTGGCCATAAAAAAGCTAGACGGAGAGGGAGGACAAGAGAGCAGCAGATGCAAGGCCCTTACTATAATAACATATCTGGAGCAAATGTGTTGTTTGTGGATGTGGTATTTGGAAATCTCTCTGCAATTTTCCTGGCAGCCGCCGTGAGCTCAGCACTCACTCCTACTCTCTTTTTCACTCTCTGTCGGACTCTATCTGTTCATCACTGACGCTTTTAGAAAGCTGCTTGAAAGTTTCTGGACACCATATATGTTGCCATGTTGCGTTAGATCATCTGAGGCAATGCGCTTATTGCAAATACCATCAAATGAACATGTATAAGTAAGACAGAGACAAAAGTGAGCAGAAGTGTCTCTCGGCTGATGAACAGGGTATCTCTGTCTTATCATTGATGCTAACACTGTCCGCATACTGTTCATATACACTAAAAAGGTTTCACATGGTACTCAGAGCACAGTTTGTTCATGCCTCTTGATACTGTCAGCCACAATGCTCTTTATTCTATTTTTAATTTTATTTGGCAAAATCTCTGAAAGTTGATATTTCACTCTTCACAAAAACAATTGCAATAGACATGAAGACTTGATGCTTTGAATGAAACACTAGTTTCCTTTTGCTCTAATCAGAATCAATCGGAGTACTTCCTATTAGTGGCCTGCTGTTTCTCTCTCTTTTTCTTCTTTCGTTCTTTCTGCCCGTCGTGGTTTGCACTGATTCTCCTCACTCATCTGAGAATTAAACAGAAACAGCTGAGGAATCCAGTGTGAGGCCAACGGCAACGCTGCAGAGACCCAGTTGGCCAATCTCTGAGGCAGATGCAAATCGGCGACTGGAGAATCTGGAGCAATAAAACGCAGTATCGAAGAAAGTGGCCACAGGGTTCCCTTGAAAAAAAATCACATTTCATGTATACATACAGTATATACGTATGGATATATATCCCGACTATAAAGGACCACTAGCAGAAGTAATGTTAGCAGTTACCAAGCTGCAGTAAACTTGTCACAGCTGCATGTATCTATTAGTACACTTCTACAGAATGCACGATAATTGCCAATATGTTAAAGTGGTGGTGACTTTGCAAATCCAAAACAAAAGAGCCTAGGTCTGCCGTATAATGACAGACAGCCCTCGAGCATGTCGGCAGGATGACACAGACGAACTGGCCTGGAAACACGTCCAACACAACAGGAGGCTGCCAAAATTACAGGAGGGAAGAGATGAAAGTGGGGAAGCACATCGAGGGCCAACGGGAGACAAAGCCGGTGTTAAAGCGGCAGCACACTCAAATTAGAGTCGGGCACTTTGAATGTTGGAAGTGTTTACAGCTTTAAAAACATGGTGGCAAAGCAGAACTGAGTCTCGTAAACAGAGTGCAAAGCCGTTCATATACAGAAAGAGAGTTTGATGTTTGTTACTGGTGCTGAATTGGAGTAAAGAAGATTTGAGCAATTTGCATAAAAGGTTACAGATATTTCTCAAGACTTATGCTGAAATAGAAGTATAAACAAGTTCCGTTTAACTGTGAGTGTAATTCATCATGTGTTATCATGGGAATAGTTCTCAATGAAATGGTCCAGTGTGCTGTAGATCCAAAGCTGTGAAATGTATTGTTTCTTTGTAAAACATGATGTATGCATGCACTTTTTATTTACTAGCTCACTTATTTCTTTTAAACTGATTCATTTTCATCCTTTTCTTTATTATGTCTAGCTGAGAACTGTGAATGAAACATGATGAGCAATATCCTGTCAATAAGATACTGCACCCAGGGTCTAAACTTGGTTCGGGTTTTACATTATGTTCTGTAAGTAAAGTTCACCACTTACTGCAATTTTATGCAAGATGATTGAGATTTTATTTTTAAAGGAATTAGTTTGACAGTTTGGGAAATAAGCTTATTTCCTGCGAGAGTTAGATGAGAAGATCAATACTACTCCCATGTCTGTGTCGTAAATATGAAGCTGCGGGCAGTTAGCTTAGCACAGACTAAAAACAGCTGGAACAGCTGGCTCTATCTGAAGGTAACAAAATCCACCTCCCAGCACACCTTAAACTCACAAGACTTCAGGAAGTCACTGTCTAACGTTCGCTTTAAGTCACTTTGGACAAATGAATGTAATATCAGAAAAGAAGCGAAAAGATCTCATAGGAGCTGAACACCTCATCTAGCAGAAGAACCCACAAATAAAAACATCATGCAGCAGTGCTATAGCAGAACAATGATGTTACAGAGAGAAAGGAAAATGGAAAAATCGTGTCCTGGATCCCCAGAGACATGAGCCCCGTGCTTTACGGTCTACTTTGTCGAGAAACACAGACAATCAAATACCTAATGAGCTGCGCACTATCACAAAACCTCCCTGGAACACAGTTAACCCAAGCACGTCAATTCAGAGTGTACAAAGGTTACTATTCACATTTACAAATAAAAGCACAGCCTTGTTCACACTGATACGCAGCCCCAACGACAAAACTGTTCCGTCTGGTTAGAAAAGGAAGGTCACCGAGACCTAAGAGACCAGGGGGAAGTCTTTCTTGTCCCTGAAGACAAACAGACAAAGACAGAGTCACGCACAAAACACACACAGTCTTACCATCCAGAAGCTGCGATTGCTGGCATCTTCACTGCTGTTGTCTGATGGTGGCGTCGACATCCTGTTCTCTGAGAGAGTAAAGAGCATGTGATTACTTCAGAGTATGGTATCGCTCTTCTTTTTAATCTGCACACTGACCTTTCTGTAATCAGCTTTCATGTGTTGCTAATGAAGTCTTTGGGGCTTTGTATCAACTATGAAATGTTATTTAAATCAAAAATATGATATATGTATTATAAAATGAGCCTTCCTTGAGTGACAATCTCGACCATGAAGCTGTATTTCAGTTCAGCAGAAACTATCCCAGTTAGTGAATGTACAGTATGTGAGTCTTATTATTATAGACTGTGTTCTCACATGATAAATGTGATTATGTTTCATAATTCAGTTCAAAACCAACATCACAAATCCCTCCACATGGGAGTCAGTGGAGAACCACATATCCATTAGGAAACCACGTCCTCGCATCCTTTCCTTGTGAGAGATGCCCCACTGACAGATGAACTCACTTACCCCACTTTGACAAATTAGAGTCACAAATATGAATTACTTTTATAGTGGACATTTGATTACTGATGAAAAATGAATCGCATGTATGGGGTACAACTGCAGAAGTATCTCCTGGGGTACAAGTACCACTGGTTGGGAATCACTGTTTTATTGTGCAGTATGTCTACTTGAGTGTCTGTGATCGGAGAGCATCTGATATCCCCTCAGATAAATGGCCGCTCATATAATGGAGGCTCTCTAGACCCGTTAAAGACTTGTAGCTGCTGTTGGAAGTTGATGTGTACAGTAAATCAAGGCATACCGTAACAACAGCAGTGAGCAAGGAGTGTCTTCTCCCAGCAATCCAACTTTGAAACATGATTCTAAGATCAATAGGGGGTAAAGGTCATCACATCCTATCATTCACACTCATTTAGGAAAGAAACAAGTACAAAGTTCTGTCTGTCTCAAAAGGAAGTGATCGACATGAAGTACTTGAGATATTTGAATGACTTTATGCTCGTCTGGTTCCACTTCCAAAACTGAAACTTTTCCAGTTAAATATTTAAGCACGTAGCAGTTTTGCCTTCTGGTGTTTCAAACGGAGCAGAACTCCACCCACCCACAGCCTTCATGCCTGTTTTTCCTCCCTGCAGCCATCTCTCCATGGCTCTGGCACAATTAGATTCAATGATTTCCCTCCACATCCTGCTGTTCACGGGGCATCACATGCTCCAGTAGGAGCATAATGCCATGCCTCTCCCTGCCTCGCTCTTCCTCAGCTTACTGTTGTGTTACTCAGCCGCTGAGGTTGTGATAGAGAACACAACCCTGTGTTCTGCCGGAGGTCAGAAAAAATAATGAATCGCCTCACTTTTAACCCTTGACCTGGACTTCCTGTCCCCTGGCTGCCGTGGTCTCCTCGGGGTACTGTGTCTGAGTTTCCAGAGGAAAGTGGGGGTGGGGGAGCTCTGCTGTGCCTTCCCTAATATCAAATCATTTGGTGCATTCCTGCAAGTTTTACTAAGTAGTCTCCGATCTCATGACACAAGCAAAGTGCCTGGGGGAATTTAATCCCAACTGTATATGAGATTTACCCTCTTAGTACACCAGCAAGTCACTTAGCTGTAATCTACTTGCCTCTCAAATGTGATTTTATACCCTTCATAAGCATTATGATCTGTCTATGTAAAAGAGAAAGCGTGCTGTGCACCATAGGCCTTTCAAATATCATTTCATAGACTTTATGATCAATTCAAACATCCTCCAAAAGGCTGGGGTGGGCCTCTGTATCCTGAATATGTAAATAAATTAAAAATAACAATAATACAAACGAAACACATTTAAGTTAGAAAAGCCTGACTGGAACTTCTGATTGGCTCTCTGTGTCGTGAGGAATATTCGTAACATTGTGACTTTCATTGAGCTACAAAAGTTAGAAGCTCGTTGTAGAATCACGTACTTACATTTGCATACATTTCACTATAAGTTATGCACCGAGTATACTGTATAACTTACCACCTACCAGCACAGATCTAATTCCACCATGGGTCCTCCAGACTTTTTATAATCTCTTGGCAGGTCAGACAGGAAATTTGTTCCCCCAGTTTTCCAAAGTCCTGTAGCGACCCAGTCCTCCCAGGATCTAAAACTCTAACTTTTCATGTAAAATCTGCACAACAACTGACTGAAACGGAAGGTCATTCGCGCTTATAAGATCCCATCTGGAGTTTCCAACCAACCCCTGAATCCTGCACCCAGTCTGGCACACACACTCACTCCTCCCCCCGTCCCCGTTTCATCTGTCACACATAACTCACCGCACACACACATTGCATAGAGGAAATATATAGTAACAAATGAACTCACAGGGCAGAAATAGGAGCTCAATCCCTCCATTAGATCTCTCTGAAATGCAGCTACAGCCATGGAAGGCTAACAAGCCGCTCCCAGTTGCTTACCTCTGTAAATGTTGGGGCCCTCTCTGCTTCAAACCCCCCTTTCTTCTTTTGTTGGGCAGCTTCAAACTTTTTTCCAGTTCAATCTTTGTGCAGACTCCGAGGCTCCTTCTCTCTCTCCGTCTCGTCTTCTTTACACTTCTCCTCGTCCTCTCCCACTTTGATTTTCCACTCGTTCTGGACAGTGCTGCTCCTGCTCTTCCCTTTTCTTTGGCCCACTGTTTGTGTCAGATGAGTTGGCTTCTTTTTTTTTTCTTCCCTCCTTCTTCTTCCTCACAACCCCCCCCCCCCCCCCCCCCCCCCCCCCCCCCCCTCTCTCTCTCTCTCTCTCTCTCTCTCTCTCTCTCTCTCTCTCTCTCTCTCTCTCTCTCTCTCTCTCTCTCTCTCTCTTACCCTCTCTCTCCAAAACAGCTGCAGGAAACTCTTGTTCTTTGAACTCCACCACTTGTTGAAGATCGTCTCTGTTTTTCTCTTTCATTCACTCGCTTCACCTTCCTCACAGTAGTCTTAACCTCTTAATGAGGCCGGCTATATGGTGGGTTTTCTGTGTGTTTGTTTATGTGTGTGTGTGTGTGTGTGTGTGTGTGTGT